GGTAAAATTCAATATCTACAACGGGCACAGTAAAGACGTTTACAGTAAGTCTTTCTACGACAGACCAACGGACCTTGAGTGCCCCTGTCAGTCAACCAATCACGTACTGCATCATCTTGCGTCATGATACGCGATACCGCAGCCAATTACCTGCGGTACGTGTCTGTACCGCGCACTTTGAATGCCTGCATCTGTAGTGCCCTTTACCAAAGAGAGAAACCACATCTACACCTCTTCATCAGTCAAGGGTTTTAGACAAGAAGAAACCACCACAATAAGCTGTACATTTGAAAAACTCAATACAATTGAATAAATAATTATACTGAAGTCAGAACAAATCATAGGTATATTGAATATGTTAGAATAATTTATAGGAATTATTTAAAGCCCGTCTTTTATGAAAATATTTTTAATTGTAAGAGTGGACATTTCCAAACAGCTTTAAGCTGAATAGTACCTTTCTTAGCCACATAAAAACATTTAATATTAAGCTATTTTTGTTATTTATTAAATTTAGTGTTTTTCATTGCTTTGTATTTAACAGCTCTGCCTTTGAATTTTTAAATTTTACCAGCTGTAAACCAGATCAATTTGGATTGTTTCATAGAACTACCATCATAGTGCATGTAAACAAATCTACTGTATGTCCAACTCAATGGCCCTCATTTTCCTTTAACCTTAATGTCAGACCTTTGTTACACATCTTAAGGCGTTCTTGTTCTTGGAATTTTAATATTTCTTTTTATTTTTATTCAGTTTTAGTTAACTCTACCAGAATTATCTTTAATTTTGTTTTAAATAAAAATGAAAACATAACCTTAGCAATACAGAAGTGGGCATTTTTCCACTAGTGCACTAGGGGTAGGCCACACAAAGAGGGGTTACTGAAATGCTGGTGCCTCAGCGTTTATCTACAATGTCTGCAAGTAATAAGAACAGCTTTTACAAGGTTCAAGAAGAAAACAGAAATATAAGTTCTTTTCGAATGCTTGTCTTTTTTGACACAGGCATTTGACATACTTCATATACAGTATGACACATGTTTTGGGGAATTTACCTTCCAAGCATTGCTTCTTCATTCCTTTCAAGTGCTTTTCCGCCATTTTTTTCAACTTTTCTTTATCTTCTTGGAGTTGTTCAAAATGCACAACAGATTTTTTTAAATACATCGAGGGCTAATCAACTCCAATCTTTTGTATGCAGTCAGGTACATACTGTAGTGTGTTGTTCCAAGGTGTGGTTAGTTAATTCTGTAACAATATCCAGCTGTTCATCTCAGGTCCCAACACCCCAATGCTTCTTCCAAGAATACTTTTCATATTTCATACAGAAGCAAAACATAATGCTCTACTTACTGGACCTTGAGCACACAATATCTTTGACCCAACCCAAATAATAAATGCTGAAACCATACTTTACTGTAAAGTGGAGGCATAAATAGGTACTGTACTTCTTTACAGAAAGGGGGTAAGAGTTTGGAACAAGCTACCTATTGTAACTGTTGTAGCCCAAACTACAATAAACCCACACCATTTATTTCAAGAAAGGGCTGGATGAAATCCTCAGGTCAAACTTCTGGTCAAAACCAAACAAGTTACAGTACATGGCCTCCTGTCATGTGTTACCTTTCTGAAACAAACATTGCTATTCTATTTTGTCCTTCTTATAAGTTCTCAGGTACGTGTATGTTCTGCTTAATATCTAAATATTTAACAAATGGAAAGCTTTTTTCTCAGAATAGTTAATTAACAGTGTAAAGAGAACAAAAACAATTATGAAGAACTGAGTCTTTCACAATTCCATGAAATGGACAAGCAATTAAGAAAAAATGAAATATATAATATTGTATTATGTTATGTAACAGAATATCAGTACTATAGAATTTTGATCATTCTAACTTTTAAAAAATCCAGTTTACAATACCCAGTTAAAACAGCTTGTTTTCAATTGAAAGTTTGTTTTAAATATAACATAATTATTGAAATAATGTTTTAATTATTATATTATAAGTGTTATAAACACTGTAAGAGCGTTGGGTGAAGTGCATTCTCCAAATAAAGGAATTTAAGAATTATTTAATATTATTTATTTAATCATATTTATTAATCACAAGAACAAACAGAAGCCAACATGTGAGAATCAAAGAAAATACATTATTCCATTATTTATTTACAGCCATATTTACAGCCATTTATTAATGACATTACACCAACACATTGATGATGCAGATTTGTATTAACGATAACATGAAAGCAACAGAAAATGTACTGTATTTATTTACATTGTACTGTAAAGCTTATTGAGTTTACATAGAACATTTTTGTAGAAAATGCACTTAAGCACACTTTCTTCATCCAGTCCTGATTTTAAGCAGCATATTTTATTAGCAAATAAATGTTGTACAGATAGATGAGATTTTTGGGGGATTTGTGCATTAATAACAATTATTTAATCTTATCTGACTATGGCTAATAGTTAATGAATAATCGCTAATCATATATACTGTAAGAGATAAACAAAAAGAAACCTTGACTTTTTAACTTGTTACATTCAATAATATCAATTTAATGGAAATTTTAAAAATGTTTAGAAAGACAACAAATACTTTTATTTTTTTACATATTTCAACAATAGGTGTCACTAGAAACCCTTTAAGATGTATTAACCCAAGATAGAAATCATTCTGAAGTACAGTAACTCCATCCTAACATTTATTCATAGATGGTTGGAGGACTTCGATGATCTGTTGTTTTGCTACTCTGGCTTGTTATTAACTGAGTCCTAAAGCAAGGAATCCATTTTGCTAGGACATTTCTAAAATGTGTTTGGAACTTTTTGCCCACAAATGTGTAAAACAGTGGGTTTATACAGCAATACAAATAGGCTATATTACGTGTGATGTACATTGCATAGTCAAGTTCAATGTTGCATGGATCAGAATCTCTGTTTAAAGAGATTTCTTGGGCTTTTAACAATATGACTATATTATAAGGTGTCCAGCACAAGAAAAATGCCACTATTATTATGAAAATTAGTTTTACAGCTCTGCATTTCTCTTTCATTTTAGTTTGAACCACTCTAATGACAATTCGGGTATAACAATACAGGACCACAGTCAGGGGAAGTAGAAAAAAGAGAACAAATTGTTGATAGTACCCCACAAGCTGCCATTTAGTCATAATCTCTTGGGAATAACCAGTCTCTTCGCAGAGGGTTCCATAATTGTTGTTTTTCCGGATGTCATAGAGTATAAACTCTTTCAGAGCTGCTCCAAGACTAACACACCACACTGCTATGCTTGAAATTATAGCGTACAAAGTCCTTCTTCTTTTGGCAGCTGCTATAGCATGGACCACAGCTAGATATCTATCAAAAGTCATGAGAGTCAAGAACAAAATTGAACTGTAGAAACCAATGAAGTAAACACTTCCCACTATTTTACACATTACACTGCCAAAGATCCACTCAGAAGAGTGATAACTGGCCCAGAAAGGAAGACAAAACGCAAACACCAAATCTGAGATGACTAGATTCAGAAGGAATATGTTGGTCACAGTTTTCAATTTCTCATATTTAATGATGATATGCAAAACCAATCCATTCTCCAGCAGGCTCAACAGGAAAATAAAGTAGTAGAAGACTGGAATGATCTTAGCTCCAAACTTGTTGACATCACTTTTGTCGCAGAAAAAAACTAAACCCTCGCTGTTATTGTAATCTTCATAGTAGTAGTCTATGGCGGTGGTCAAACTCGGCGACAAACTTGTATTTTCCATTGCTGTGTTTTCTTGCCAAGCTGTCAAAAAAGGAAGCTGTTAAGTTAATAAATGCAAGGCTTTTGAAAAAGAGAAATGAGGCTCCAATAAATGAATTTCACTTACCACAGTATAAATGAGAATTCTTAAACCTGCAATGAATGAAATTCCAAGTTCTTACAATGCTGATTTCATGTCTTTTTAGGCAGCATCCTCCTTTGTGCTACCTTGAATGACAAGTGAAGATACTGTAAATGAAGGATGGAACTGTGGAGTGGTGTTATAAATATCTAATAGAAGGATGACGCAACAAACATGTTACACAATTCATGGGCCCTTTGTGCCTATGTTGCACAGATTTGTAAATCCTGTCAAATAATGCGATTTTAAAGGCCCTGTTTCTTATAAGAAAATTTGCTTTATGGGGCATGAGGGATTTTTTTTCAAGTTAATCCAACTCACAAAGGCAATTACATTGAGTTCCAGACATATTGTGTTTCGTATTGAAACAACACTACCTTGCACATCCATCAGAAATACAGTAAATCTTGATTTATTCTAATTTGTACTGTTATCCTTTTTCTCAGTTCCAACGGCACACTGTGATGACTGCAGTATTACAAAATTATGTAAACGAATGCATCTGGCTATTATAATAAGATTTTATAAAAGTTAGCTTTCACTCAATATAAAATGTTCAACTTTGCAAGACACAAGCTCTGATAAGTCTCATTAGAAGTTTGTACTGTAGAATAACTGTTTAGTGGTATATAGAATGCATCTTATGTTTCTTTTTTTTGCAAAGAACTATGACCTAAGATCTAGTGAAATTTTAACATTACAGTATGTATTTACAAGATTTATTTTATGTGTGCATCAGTGTACTAAATCATTGCTCTTTATGTGAATGTCTTTCAGCAATGGAGAATTGTGTATTGATCCCATATTCTTTCTGGATACTGTGACAATTGCAATCCTTTACAAAGAATTCTACACAATACACAATAAATCCATTCCAAAGAGTAGGCTTCTTGTGCTAGAGCACCATAGGACTTTAATAGAGCCACAGCATACAAGTATATTTTATTACAAGGAATTTCCACACCGTTAAATAAAAATAATATTTGTATAAAACTTTAAAAACATAAAACTTTTTTTAATAACATAAAACTTTGGGTTATTTTGTCATTGTTCTACTGCTCATGTCAGCTACATTTTATTGCTGAAAGCTTGTACACCCAATATTCTGATTGGATTGTACCACAAAACAATATCGTGACTAAATCACCTGTGAGGCACTGTAATCCTGCTCGTATGAGTGCATTAACTCATGCTTATGTTGTGGAATGCCTGTGGCTACTAAAATTTGGTAACATCAGAAGGTAGATTATACAGTTCCAAGCACACTTTATGTTTTTCAGGTTCGTACATCTCACCTTGCAGTTTCATGTAATCTCTTTTTCAGTAGCTATCTGAAATAATCATTTATATGGGACACATTCTTTGAATCCTGTTCCCACCATCTAGCTTTGGTTAAAGGTTTTGCAATTCTCTTTTCTATCATCATACATACCATCAATGAATCACTAAGATCTGCAATTGTTCCCTCAGCCTTTAAAAGTACAGTCATCACCCCACTGTTAAAAAAGCAGAACTTTAGCATTCTCAATAATTATTGACCAATATCTAACAAACGTTTTTGTCAAAAGTTACAGTATACTGTAGAAAGCCCTGTTGCTATTCCTTTGCAAAATGTACAATATTTATTTATAAGCAAGCTCCAGTATATGAACTATATCAATCAGATTAATGCATAATATAGAAGTAGCTATTGTTTGGATTAGTAATGAATTACTGATGACTAACAAGTCATCAGTAGAGACAGTAGAGAGAATTTTTATCTATTCTTGTCTTTACATGGTCCAAAATGATATTTTGCTTACTGTGCGACACTCTGTGGCATTTCTCACACACTAATCATGGCATTTCTGGCACAAGCTCCCACATTTCTCTCTCATCAGATGTTTCTCTGTTATTATTCTCCACCACGCTGCTTCAGCAATTACCACTCTCCCTTGTATCCAAAGATCATCAAGACTATTATATAAACCATCATCTCTATGCATCCACTCCTTAGTCTTGAAATTTCCTTCAGTCTCAATGTTCTTTAGTTTTGCTTGTGTTGCTACCACTGGCTGTGGCCCTTGCTTTGATTTGTGTTTTGACCCTGCTTATTCTGGATTTAGACCTTATTATTTTCTCACATTTGTTTTACCCTCTCCTGGGTAGTTTTTGACTACACTTCTGCCTTGTGTCTTTGTTTGGATTTCCTGCTTTCTCTACCATACCAATTCTGCTGCTGGCCAATCTTGCCACAGGATCCTACAAAATCATCAAAATCATCATCTTGCTCAAATAGATGAGAAAGGGTTGCTGGTTTGAAAAACAATTGTGACAATTAGACATTGGCATTCATCATCCTCAAAACAGATCTCATCTGCTGTTGCACAAGGCATGAAGATGTTCTTTATTACTTATACCATACCATTGGGTCATTGGTTTCTCATATGTATGACATTCGTTTTCACTTCTAGACTGAGGACACCCACATTTATGTGCGTGCAAAGCTTGACTCTGAACCCCTGGCTACAAACCTCAGAAGGCTAAGCTTTCATTTCTGTTGCTCTAACTTTTTGTTGGTTTGTATTATTGTTGTAAGCTATAACATAATATGCAATTTATTCTGTATTTTCTATGAGAATATCACAAAACATTTGGCACATACTTGACATACAGTATGTACTATATACTGTATATTAAATAAAAAATAAATTCTGAAAATATAAAACTCTAAATGATATACCATATCTTTGGAAATAATTATGGAAGAACATAAACTAAAAAATCCAAGTAACAGAATCCCAGCATACGGGTTAAGATGAAATGTACCATAATGCAGTCATAGGTTGAGAACGTGCACTGTAACTGGCTGTCAATCAAGCAACTAGAATATACCAAAACTGCATAAGGACCCAGTATAGACAATTATACCATTTCAGTCTCAACCAATTAAGTTTAAATACAGGCTACAAGCCCCTTTTTTCCATTTTTGAAAGATCAGGTCAGTAAAGAGTGACAATTACAGCTGACCTGCCACTAGAGGCTATCAATGGCCTCTAATAATTGTAAAGAACCACACTACTGTAGATGTAAATTTGGTAATTTAGTTAATTAGTTAAGGAATTTAAAGGTTTAGGAATTACATATTCACACATGAGTATATTTATGCGTGTCTGGTACAGTACATAAAGGCCTTCATGGTTGCAGTTGGCATTGGCTCCTTTTGCCAGACGTATTCAAGCAGTTTTAAGTTTCAGTGTGATCAGGGTCTAGGAGCCACCTTTTTGTAGGCTGGAGCCTGTCACAGCATTGTTCTTGTTCCTCCTTATTGGCGCTTTGTGATATTCCTCATTGCTTTCAATAATTTTGTTGTTATGTCCTGCCTGTTGCTTCCATCTGCCAAGTGGGTGGACCAAAACAGCATCTCTGATTATCGTGTGTTAAGAAACCATGTGTTAAGAAACCATGACATGTTTATATTAACATAAAGGGAATTTCAGTTTATACAAAAAATCAAAGTATTTTACATCAATTGTTTCATGAACAAAAGTTGTAATGTTTTTTTATGTAATGTGCCTCTATAAATGCTGAAATATATGAATCACTGTCTTGTAATAGGAAACTGATGTATGGTAGAATCTTATAATTATGCATTTTACATTTGCATGTGTTTGTTTCAATAATGTGGACAATGACAGATTCCACTAAAACATTTCAGCCAATGTTGTTTTCAGTCCAAATGTATTTAACACTTTAAAATATTGTATGTTACTGATAATGCCACCCAAACCTAATATATATTGATACTAAATGTGACGTTAATAAAGGGCCAAAAAATGCTGGAATGATTAAACCTATAAAAGACAGAATTTTGTAAAAAAGACAGTAAATTGTATTTGTCAAAATGAATGAACAAATTTAGCTTTAAAAGTGTAATCTTGTCAACATTAAAGGTTAAAGTTATGATTTTTTTTTCTGAATTCAGCAGATGGAATCCAGATAAAGTCATATGGAATTGATCTTCTCAATCCTATCTTAGAGACCTTGTACTAGAATCTCTAAGCTTTTGGGCTGATTTTAAAGTCCATCTTACATTCAAGCCTACATAGTATGGCTCACAGAAGGTAGCTGCTTTTTCAATCTGTTTAAACCCATTCACATGACCTTCATGTAAATACTGTAGCTCTGGTTTATTGCATGCCCTCACTGTTCATTTACACTTACAGTAGCTGGTGACAACCAAGAAAACAAGGGTTCAGCCATATCAAGGGCTTAAAACTCTAGCCTAAAATCTAAATTTTTAAAAATAATTCTTGCATTTTGTTCATATTCGTATTTTCTTTGTTCTTATGTGTTCACATGCAATTTTGTCATCTTGATTAATACCTTTATAATGATATGTACATTTCATGTCTTGTAAAGCACTTTGAGATGAAGTCTTTTAAAGACACTACTGTATATAAAACGTTTATTACGTGTATTAGTATATACCATAAATGCAGCATAGAAAAGAAAATCTCATATTACAAAAATAAGATAAAATGTGAATGCATTAATACAACAATAAACCTTTTAAAAAATGCAAAACCTTAACCACTAACATGATTAAAATATGTTTTCATGCATTTCCCAAAAAAACATTATGTGATTTGTTTTGAAAAGAATAAACATGATAAGGGTACCAAAATATTTACTTTTAGCATTTTTAAATGTGACTTCACCCTAAAGAGAAGTCCCAAAAAATTTCAGATAAAGGAAGTTTGTGCATTTCTACCATGTGATGAGTAACTTGTATAACTTGTATACTGGAAGTAAGTAGACCACTGTGTGCTCATTACAGTCATGCAAAACTATTGCTAGTACATAGTCTCTGAAAAAAACCTGTGGTGTTGGAAGTATAATGGAGGGACCATGATCCATAACAGTTAAAAGTCGTTTAAGTTATTTAATCTTTTTATTGCAAATAACAATAAAGTCAACATATAGAGGTATCCGTTGTTAATTTGAACAAGGAATTTATTTTCTACAAAAACGTCCTAAATACAGACACACAATTTACTTTTATCATTAAATAAAACTTCCATTATATCATATATGTAGGTTTGGAATGATAATGTTTCTTATACAACAATCATTTTTTCTTCACAAAACATAAAATGCTATATTTCCATGTATGAATGTGAATACATAGAGTATATTTTAAAATGTCCATTCTGTAGGGCTGACAGTAGGAGTTAGAAGACCAAAGATATTCTAGTCAAATATAAAAGAATAAAATAATAGTATGTACAAATTTGCTCCACTGTAAAAGAACCAATGTTGCATTTTACTTTTACAACCAGTGTTTTGTGAGCTATTAAACTTTTTAGAATTGCCTCTGGATTGGAGCCACAATTTGCATTTTGCAATTTATTTTATTACATTTACAATGTCGGCCTTCTAGTTTTTATACTGTCTGTTCTCTCATTCAAAATCAATGCTGTTACTCTTGCATTGTAATATGCAACATTATAGGAATAAAGTATTCTGGGTGAAATACCTGATGTATAGTTTGGGGGCCCGATAACAAAGAGCTTCCTTCACTGTACAGTACAATGTAAGAGTGCAGAACAATGATTTTAAGTAACCAAACATTTCTAATAATGTAAACATAAACAGTAGTTTAGTATATTAACAGATACTACAGGCATTCATAAATCAATGGAAACCTACTTAATGCATGAAACAAACATTTAAAAAAATACAATACATATATAACAAATTAACCTATAGCAATAACTACTTTCTCTAAATTAGCTGCCAGAATATAAACTCTCAGCTGTGCTAAACAAGTACCTCTGTAATGAGCATAATATGATATTCATTTCAGTTTTGACACCTACAACTATGATGATGTACGCACATTAAAGTAGACTGAGAGCACCTAACTGAAAATAACACAGTTCTTGTGCATAATTAGCATATAATAGAAGTCTATTATCTGCCCCAATCAGAACACCCTCACACATAAGAACACAGCCATATTTCAAAGGTGAGCTACAAGTACAGTACCTAAGACTGCCTGTGTAACAGTTTGCTTATTCACACCACTTTACAGTAAGTGTTCACGTTTCCTAGAATTTCATATTGACATTTATTACCTCATCTCTTTTTGAATTTCTTATTGACACTTTTTAAATTAGATTCAAACCCATTGTTCTCATTTATAGAAACATCATTGTTTTACTATTCATTTGAATATATCGGTTGAACAATTACCCAAATCCAGTTTTTGGTCAGTGTGGCTTCAAATGGTTCTTCAAATGATTCATTTGGGTAAATGATTTACTGTATCTGAACATGTTAGTATTTTAAAAGCTTCATTCATAAACACTATACTTTTGTTCAAATCTTTTTTTTTTGTTAAAACAACTTTCCATGTCTAAGATTTATTTTAAAAAATCAGTAGGTTTTAAAATAATATTGAACTATTCTCATAAATACAGAATATAGAAGATGTAAGTCCTCTGTATTAATTAAACCAAATACCTCAAGACATCTGTACCCTAAACAATAATTTACTCATTAGCCCCACGATATCATTACCAAAAGCCATGGATTGTCACTTTATAAAGCATTAAGACTGTTGACACAAGAATATCAAACATAGCTTCCTTCCTGAGTTAAAATGCACTCTAAACCCAATTTAATTAACAATGGTTTGTAGGTGGTGAGATTAATTGTTAATAATAAAGGCTCAATCACAAAGATATTAAGGAATACTTAAAACAACCTGAGGCTGTGTTTATTTATGACAGGAGTATGGCCAGTCAAACCCATAAGAATATGTCAGCTTCCCAAACTGTGACACATCTGAGATTCTACTTAGACTAAGAAAACAAAACAATGCAACCTTATAGGTATGGCAACTACAGTAAAACTGAATCTATTGAAGCTGAGGGTGATCATCTTCGGATTTTTTTAATTTTCTGCTCTCAGTTTATTTTATGGGATAACAGCTTACACATATTGGCTAGATCTCTTTCAACACAAAAGTAATTATCAACATTTTTTTTTCAGAATGAAAAGGCTAAAAAAAAAATTTGTTCAGATGTTCCCCTTTAAATCCAACACATTTTTTACAGAGTAATTCAGCTGGAAACTCATGCAATATATTACAAATGGGTGTCTGTATAGTTTATTCAAAGAGGTTAGGGTGGGAAGCTTTGTCAGCATTCATGCTGCAAGGGAGCAACTAGAGGTTAATTTCACACTGAAAAGTAGGAGGAAGAAACAATATTTCAGCGGTGGAGCCTTCTTTATGTGTGGGATTGGAGAAGTTATAAGAAGAAAAACATAGTGGAAAGAATAAAAAAGGATGAAAATAGAGATAAAGAGATGGAAACCTGAGTGACAAATATGTAATTTATATGCATGTCAAAATATATTTTTGAATGTCAGTCTGAATATACCCACATTATAAATCAACAGCAATTGTTAAAGAGTATTTGTTCTTTCAGATTTTTATTAATATTGGATAGAAGTAACAAATGTAGTACTAGGTTTCATTGCTGTTACTTTTATACTTGGATTTTGTACATTTTAATATATTTGGCTGTTGAACCATAGAAACTAGTATTAATTACTAATTAAAATTCACTTTCACTTTTGAAAACTAGACCTTAAAATGAATGTACAGTAATTATGACAAAAAGAGTCAGACCAACCCCGATTCCTATCAGTACAGTATCTGCCTCACTAAGGTGCAGTATAAATAAAGTCCACTGTTTTAACTTCTAACTTTTGTCATACCTCTCTAGGTTACAGTGAAACAGTTGGACTACTGCAATGCCTTTTAGCTGGTTCATTCAAGTTGCTACAGAAACTACCAGTGCTGCCCAAAACTACAAAAAAATGAATATTTGTCCTGTGCTGAACGACTACTAGTCTCTTACAGCACAGGCATTCAAGGACTTCACACTGTACATTAGGGGACCAAGCTTTTTCAGTGGCAGCGCTTTTCTTTTTGCTTACTCTTCCTGACCAGATTTAAAAATACATCATCTGTTGATGTTTCTAAATATCACCTGAAACCTTTTATGGTTTTGATGGCCTTTAATTATTAAATAAATAAACCAATTTCTTTCGGTTTTCTCAGTTAGATCTGTATCTGTGTATACTGTACACTATACTGTTTTAATCTTAAGTGTCTTAAGAATGCTCTATACTGAAAGGTGGTATATAACAGAAAATTGATTGACCCCACCACCATCACGATCGCCACCACCAGAGCAAAAACCATTGTTTATCATAGTGGGTTTCTAACTACTTTGTCCAAATAGTTAAACAAGGCAGGTTAAGATCAGACATATCACATTTAATCTTTATCACAATCACAGTGTTTTAGTTTGTCTTTAACTACTAAATGGCAAGTTATAAACAAAACACATGGATAAAAACAGCGTAATTCTATCGAACTTTGCCACTGGAAGCACAGGCAAGATTGGGTCAATCTCTGTTAATTTAATTGGATATGACTTTAAGAAATAGTTTTTATGGGGTTCTATTTACTTGAATGATATAGTTTCCTCATATTCAATATTACAAAATCTATTAAGCGAACAGTTTTGATAAGTGAATGTACTACAGTATATTGCAATTAAATTTCTCACTCAATTACTGAACTGTAGCATAATTCAAATAAATGCCCTTAATCTGGTAAAAACACAATGTTAAATCAATTGCATCTTCACTAGAGGATTGAAGGTAATCCGTTTGTTTTTATACCAGCTCAGGTTTCTTTGGGTTTTTTGCAAGTGAGATGGCTGACTGCTGCTGTTCTGTGCAGAGGTCTAGAAATTGGGTCCCTTGCTGAACCGATTGTCTCTGAGGTTGTACATGTTGTAGCAGAGTGTCACATCACAGGTACCAGGGTGTCCTGGTGGTCCACGCTTTCCCGGTATGCCAGGCATCCCAGGTTTGCCTTCATTGCCAGGGGATCCTGGGGTGCCTTCGCCATCCCTGCCTTGAGGACCCTGGGCACCTACAGGTATTATCATTACAAAACACAGAAATATCCAGTTCACTGATTCTGAAGATCACCATGCTCAGAGGTACGCTGTATATTTTTATTTTACATTATATTGTCACAGGATTAATTGTTTTTCTTCTCCTTCAGCATTTAATTCAATTAAAATACTTTTTTTCACCCCCATTGCATAAAGCATAAAGCTTTATAACCTGGACACAATTCCACTTAACATTATTTCAAGAAACTAACCAAATCTAAGGTTCATATTTTCCTTAGGAGTTTGTGATTTGGAGAAAAGACAGGGCCAGTTCTTCTTTTTACATTTCACTGAGTTTTTGTAGGCAAAATTAGACAGAGTGGAAAATTCAACTCTGAAAGCCAAATAAGAATGCCACAGTCAGGATAAAAAGATATCTGTACTTGTCAGAGGTCCCTGCTTTTTCTGACGTGAGGAGGGCATAGTTATGTCTACAATGCATATGTCCTTTTTACATGGCTCATTTTCGAAGGCTGATGGGGGCAAAATGTGAAAACTATACTGTTATAGTTCAAAGAGTAAACAATTTAATATTTTCCCAGGGTGAGCACAATGGGCTTCCTGTGGCTCTTATATTAAAATGTTTTTCTCAAAGTATTTTACCTGGTGGGCCAGGTGGACCTGGTAATCCAAAGTGTCCCTCTCCTTTCGAACCTTTATCTCCCTTTGGCCCAATATCACCTGTAGATAAAACAAATGAAAAACTAGATGGATGAGGCCAGTGGAACAGACCATCATATAAGCCCCTCTTCTTGTTTTTGAACATTTGTAAGGGTGTACAGATATTTGAGACCATTACCAGCAGCTTTTCTACCAGGATGTGTTACCTTTTATTCCTTGGGGTCCTTCTAACCCTGGTGAGCCCATGTATCCTTGTCTCCCCACCCTTCCAGGGTATCCAGGTGGGCCACTGGGACCCGGGGGACCAGGGGAGCCCGGCATGCCTGGCGAGCCCTGCTTTGTTTCACAGGATTGACAATTTGGGAGCATTGTCTGTAGAAACTGGGGCAATTGATCTGGGAAAGGAAACATAAAAAGGTGTTCTACTCCCTCTATTCTTTTTACCCATTAATTTTCAAAATGCTCTATCTTATACAGGGTTAGTTACCAGTTAGTTATCTTTATATTTTAATATAATCTCATTACTACAAACTCTAAGTGACAGAAGAAGGATGTTCAATCAGTACCTTTTCGAATCCTTTATATGTAATGAGCTGAAATACTGTACCTTCCATTTACGTACATAGTAAACATCCCAAGAGGGCAGTGCAAAACCTGGATGTTTCTTTCTCCTTTTAGTCACTAGTGGAGCAATTAGATGACTCTACTAGTTTGTCTCATCCTCTTTATTCTAAGAAGCTGATGTGTCACTTCCTGTACATTCCAGTCGATCTACATGAAATACCACGAATTTCACAAAACAAATCAGCACACGGGAAAGTGTAACTTCAAATGAGGACAGCGTAAATACCCTGATTCAAACTTCAAGCTTTTCTGCACCTCATTAAACTTTTGGCATTCTCTGTGATGTCATATATGACAGCTAAATAGATATATTTTTGGAAGACATTACAGCTTTTGTTAAACTGAAATCTAACTTTGATACCTAGAAAAATTGCTCTTTGTATTGATGTTTGTATTTTTATTACTTCAAATTGAAAAATTATTTCATTTTGAAAAAAGGGTCTCAGCTTCAGTATATTTAATTTAACCAGTTATGACATTAACATTAAAGGAAAGATACTTACTCTGGAGAACAGTTGTACAAAGCTTTATCAAATGCTCATCAGAAGGAGGCTTTCCCTGAAAAATAAAAGGCATTGAATATAATAATTGCTTTTGTGTTCAGACAGTACATCTGTACTATAACTGGAATACTTACAGGTTTCCCTGGAAACCCAGGCACTCCTGGTTGCCCTGGTAACCCATCTTGGCCTGGAGGTCCACGAGGCCCAACAGCTCCTACTGGACCCAAGTCTCCTTTTTTTCCATCAAGGCCTCTGATTCCTGAGTCTCCAGAATCACCTTTCTGAGTGTGGTTAAATGAAGTAAGGGCTTGCATGTATGAATAGCTTAGATCAGCAGACAAACAAACTTGTTGTAGAAGTGTTTTCTGTTTTCATCCCCGTCTTATTTATTTTCATATTTAGAAAATGTTGGTATTTTAAAACCAGCATTTTATATTACAATGTTTTTTCCATACCTGCTACATGTTTTGTACACTACAGTTAAAAATATATTTTGCTACATTTGCTACATTCCACTTTTTCATGCAATTAGACTCTGAAATAGTGAAACTACATAGGAAAAATAACATTTAATGGAGCTCTATTTGAATCTCCAAAGATTTTTGGCATATTGGCATATTGTCTTAATGTCATTGTTATAGATTTTTATTTTATAACACATTGCAATTTATTAGTGTTCCACTTGACTAGCAGAGACATGAGTTGATTTTGTGAAAATGTGTTAGATGTATTGTATCAGTCTTATTTAACATACTGTACCTCTCCCTTGCTTCCCCTGAGTCCAGTTTCACCCTGTGGGTAGGAATACAGTATGTTTCAGTTTTGTTTCTGAGGAATAAATGAACAACCCCTGCAAACACAATATTTTAGCTGTGAAGTATAGATTTGAAAAGCCAAAGGGATGCTGCACAAAAAGAGGACTTAAACTGGATGGATGCCAGAGGGAAAATAACTGCAGCAGAGTTTCAACATTTGCATAGAACCAAGTCCACCCCCATATTGTTGGATTATGTACTACAGTATATAGTATGTGTAGTTAAAATACAAAGTAACCCACCCTCATATGATAATTAAAGTAGGAATTAATTGGATTTAAGTAAATTAAAATAACATTGATCAACTAAAATAAATCACAGCAATCACAAACTTTCCTTCTCTAAGATTATAACACTCCACTGTAATGAAAAGCAGTAAAAGTGTCAGTGAGACTGTTAAATCATCTCTAGCCTGTCATTCCCCACGCCGCAGATACAGAAACGCTAGCTCTTGTTGCAATAAAAAACAAGACCACGTTGAGATGCAGACGCTGGGTAGTGGGCTCTTGAGCAGGGGTCAGGCTCACTAGTTTGTGTCACAATCTCAGTCTAATTTGAGTTGTGCTTTACAGCCTTCAGCTTGGTTTTGCCTCATTCTGCTATTAAAGTAGCAAATAAAAGAATTCTGAGTGCTTAATTTACAGATATTGAGACCCTATTGTATGTATGTAATATGTTTAAAAGTCAAGTAAGTAAAACTAACTCTGTTAATGCTGAAAACAGGGGGCTATGACCCACGCTTTTGAGGTTTCATACCAACCATTTACGTTGCTTATAAAACATGCATAATTGCATAATTTAAATCCTTAATATCATGTTTTGAAAAATATGTGGAAATTCTTTTTGGTTCAAAAGATTTAGTCAAGTTAAGATGCCTTCTGAGTTCAACATATGCCTCATTACTCTTTATTATTAAGAATCCTCAGTCAAACATGCTACTTACACGGATCCCAAGAGCTCCTGGAATCCCAGCGATGCCTTGATCACCCTAAAATGAAATGACTGTTAGAAAGAAATCCAGAAAAAAAAAGCTTAGGTTAAAGAATGTGCATTGATAAAACATTGATCTTAAAGCAGTAGCAATATTTTTCTTCCCTTTAACATTCAAATAACAATTTCATACTATCTGATGTCATGGCTGTATACAGTACAGCAGTATGGCAACAGTGAAACTCTGAGATAGAGATCAATGCAAGAATTTGTCTACAATCAACTACTGTACATGATAGTGGTGTTCTTTAAAACAAAAAGGCAGGTCTAGAAATCCCTTGTGTTTATGTTGCATAGCAGACTCCCCAAGGTCACTTCCCAGCTAAGAAATGGAGGCATTTCTTGATCTGGTCATGTAAGTACAGGTATATAAGTAAATTAATAAATAGGCATATAAGTGCATTAAAAATTGTGATTAAAAAACAATAGCATTATCTCAAATACATGCTTCCAATGTATTCATCTCATCAAACAGCTAATGCTATTTAAACTGGATTTATGTTCACAACATTCATGTTTTTCTTTTTAAGTGCTGAAATTTTTATAAACAAATGTTAAAGACTAATTTTGGAACTATAGCCCTGGTCCTCCTCTTTCTATGGCAGTAAATGTAAAAAGATTCCCACAGAAGCAATACAATACATCACCTGATTTCCTTTTTCACCAGGTTCCCCAGGATCACCCTAAAAAAACAACTTGGAATACTATGACATGAAATTTCACTGAGGTCAAACATACACAATAAGTATAAAAAAGACTGTTAGACGAATATAGAAACATGATTACAGCAGTTTCTTAATCTTCTCAGTTCGATTCCCCCTATCTCAATGCACTTTCATTTGACCTTTGAACCAGCAGTTTGTACCATGATAATGGAACTCCTCAGACATGAAGGAATCACCCTGAGATGTAAGAGCAAATAACAGTCATGGCAGCAATTCTGGGCTAGATGTTTCCAAGTACTGTAGGTATTTCAGCTGGTATACCCCATGTTGACAAATGGCAACATGGGCAACCTGGCCTTCTAAAATGGTTAATTAATGTGCATCGTAACAGTTTTAAGATATCCCACAATACTTTGCTATTGATTGTAGCTTTATGAAGTGTGCAAACAATTAACAGAACTCCCTTCTGAATTCTACACAGAATATGGTGTAGAATGTCTATGCGGTGAAAATGATGGATGTTTCTAAAGAACTGATTCACTCTGAGTTTCCAAGTGGTGAAATCATTACCAGTAACCTGACAGGATTCTGCTGAATCAGAGTTTAATGGCAATAGCCGCTGTTTTCTGGGCTTCATTCACTGCTACTGATTTCTCTAACTGAGGATTTTAAGCACACAGTTTGGAAGAATCTTTTGATATGCCAAGATGTTTATGGATAAACGATTCAATGCTCATAAGTAAAATTAAAACTTGTCTTGTTCAGCAATTTGTAAGTTTTGATTTGATCCATAAGGTCAGCAATCCTGATAAGGAAATTAGACATCAGGTAGAGACTGTTTGAGTCCAAGGGTCATCCAGAGTTGAGGTCATCCCTGATTGAATCTCCAAACTGTTTAAACTCTAGAATTACATTTTTGCTTGTTGTATCTTTGTGAAAGAACAAGGTGCAGCTTTTTCATACACAGCAACTGTGAGTTAATGGAATGGTTGTGCAGTGTGAAGCAAAAGTTTATTAATGCAAATTGAATAAGCATTGATACATTTATTATTCAAAAATAAGAAAGCACCTATGATGCATGGATGCTGATATTTACATGAAATTAGGCATGAATTGCAATGCATCTCACGCACAGAATTGTAACAAATGTAAAACTCTTGGTATATCTGTACATCTATAAACATCTAGTAACACTTTCTGGTTAGATTTGTGCTCTTCTAAGTTGCTAGAAATGAAGCTAAATAGCTTTGTTTGAAAGAAATTATCAATCAATGCCAGCAATTTCAATGGATCATGAGAACGGTTATAATATCCATGGACAGACAAATAATGCAAAGCAGAGACAATGCTGCTATGTCTATGGCAATAGACAGACTTTTATAAAAAAAAAAATCAATAAGCAGAAGAAATATATTGTTTTAGAAGAAAGGTCCTGATTGTCCTTACCTTATGGCCCTTAAATCCAGGATTACCCACTGAGCCAGGCAGTCCTTGAACTCCCTGTTCTCCTTGCATCCCCTTTAAAAAATAAGCAATATATACATTTATTTGTTGAAATACAGGAATTCTGTGATTTTATATTGATCTGTTCTTTATCATGATTCTTCTTCATTAGCTTCAGTACCTATAGTAGTTTGTTTCAGACTTGTAGGATATATTTTTTAGGATGTGTTTATGTGTCTAAAAAATAAGTACAATCTTTTTTCTATATGAATGTTCTTTGGACACACCCAAGAAGTGCTATATAAACTCTGTTTAAAACTTAAGATTGTAGAAAGTAACATTTATGGTGAATATGAAACATCTAGAATTCTTTTAAAATGTATTATTATTTTTAAATGTTTATTTGATGGACTTATTCAGTAAGGTATTCAAAAATGCTCGATTTTTGACTGTATCAAGTTAATGAACTTTAGCAGGTGTAGATGCCGTTCCTAATAACTGTCTTCTGACAAACCACTTCTGGTTTCATTCCACAAGAAATACTGTTAATATTTCGAAACCGTTTAAGTTTATATATAGTTTCAAAATCACTGCACCATGACACATATGAGGATATTGACATGCATTGCACCGATAAGAGATGAGCTTGAAAAATTGTATGTTTTGTTCAGGTCAATACTTTTATATTAAAAATAATTGAAAACACTGTAATATTTTAATATACTCTACCACCTGCTATTGGTAGTGTGACTTGAATCATATGCAGGAATCATGGGAGGCCTAGATAACTTCTGAATTTTTTTTTCAGACATCAAACAAAGACTCTTTTAAAGAGAAATACATTATAGCCAATTGAAGTCGTAATTTGAATTTGAATGTCCTAGGTAAAGCTGAGGTCCTATTTAAGTTACATTAACATGAACAGAAAAACAGAAAAATGCAGACGGGTTTAGTTTTCACTGTTCCCAACACATAATTTCTTTAAAAGGTTCTGCAAAAGACACTGGTTCTGCATGTGTTAAGACTCACAATTTGACCTAGGGAAGCACTATTTTTGTTTTTTCAGGTCCCTTTTCACAACTTAAAACTGGAATACAGCAAATTAATTACAACCTGCCTATAATGAGTTAACATTCTGCACAAGGTTCTCTCCAATGCATGTTAATAAACTGAATACTCAGTCCCCGCTATCTATACTAATCATTTGGTTAACATGTTTATTGAGCCCAAGTTGCATTTTCAAACTGTATTTTTATGATTTGAGTCTCGTTAAGCCTCTACTGGCCTCTAGTGGCCTTCTCTCTCAGGAATTGCACCAACTTTGATTTTGTTCCTGAGCTGCAGTATTCTGCAATCACCTGGACACCCATCATAATAAGAGAAGCACATGTCCAATGCAAAATCCCATGAATTGACAAAACAGAAAGTAATCTCCATCATGATTAAATGTCAGCAACAAGAACATTGTAAATTCTAGCATACAAATTCAACAAAAGCTTAATACAAATATGCCACATCATCTCCTGCTTTGTTTGTTTTTCTGGTTTTGCCACTCATGCAAGTCATTTGGTTCAGAAGTGCCTACAGGGCATAGTTCTCAGTTATTTGATTTAAATGACAAACCGGAAGTGTTGTAACACCACAGGAAATTGTATTAATTGCTGTAGGTACGCTGACATACAATAAGGGGCAGGCAATACTCAACCAGCTGTACACTATATCTAATGATTTAAGGATATATTTTAAAAATAAGTACTTACTTTCTGTCCTGGGACCCCAGGCAATCCTGCTCTTCCATGCTCGCCAGGAACACCCTTCATGGAAAGAACAGAGCAAGGAATGAAAGCCACAGTATAAGGTTTTAAAAAAATAGCGGACATTATACAAGACTCTGATTGCCTTTTCATCTGTAGTGTAATAAGTTCTAAAAAAACCTTACTTATAAAGTCAGTGGAAGGTTACTTTGGGATTGAAGAAACATCCTTTTCATTGTTTATTTTTATAACTGCTTTTTATACCAACTGTAGATTAGAAAGATATCACTATAAGACCATGGCCTACCAATGCAAGGCTTTCTAGAAATGTGTATTAATGTTATAATCAATTCCGGGAACAAATTAAAATATTCTGAACATAAATAATTTTTGCTGACATACCTTAGGGCCCTCTCGTCCTTCCACACCAGCTGGGCCCATTGGCCCTTGAATCCCCTATATGGAGAAGAGGCACTTCATACGTAGCCATGACAGCAGTAATATTCTCTACTTCACTACCAAAATATAGACACTGCACGACGTATACGTTTACGTGTAGTTGTCGGTTGTTGACTGTGACTCTTATACTGAAGTATCTGTGAGTCTTATGAGTATCAGTCAACCTCTGATATATTTTATTTATGTTATGGACCTCATATTCATACTCTTCTGGTTTTTGTTCCAAACATTATTAAACATAGGATTAATTCTGGGGTCTCCAATCCTGTTACTGCAAGTCTTTTAGGACAACCTAAATCTGGACAGAGGAAAGTTGGTTCTAAAGAATCAGAACATTTTTTATTTTACTGATCCATTAAACAAAATGTGCTTAATTAAGGGGCATTACTTAATTAAAAAAATGATAGTTATTTTTCATTCATTGCATCTAAACCTTTCAGTTATTTATAAATTGCTACTTTCTTGGTTACCGATATGACCTATCGGTCTCCAGTTTAATATGGGCATGTGTTGCAGCCAATGGACATAACTGTGCAGAAAATAATTGGTGCAATGAATGTTCTGAGGCCCAAAAAAAGCTAAAAGCTCATAGGCATACCATATCTGATAACAAAAACATATTACTGACGTGATCTATGTACTGGCCAAATTGTGATAAAAATAATCATTTCTTAATCTTAATCATTTTCATAAAGGATCTGTATCCATCCAAATACAAAATCTCAGTGAACACCTAGTCCAAAATATTTCCTCTGTTTATTTGAATGTTGTTAAAATGAGAATAAATCTTCTTATATTATTTTATATCTGGTTTTAATTGTGTTCTGATTTCCATTTCTGCAAAAAAACGTTTTGATTTCTTTTAATTTTCTATAGGAAAAATGTTTAATGACATAAATAGGTCTGTATTGTATAGTATTAGATGCATAGGCCTGACTTTGTCTGTAGCAAATTTACCCTAAATATGTTTATTTATACATAAGTCATGTAGACAGTAACTTGAATCTTCTGATGTATAAGACAATTATTCAAATACATATCTTTGTTAATGAATTCTCCTCTGCACAATGGGCCCTATATTTTGATGTCTGTAAAGCACAGAGCATATACTGAGAATGAAATAATTAAAATAATAATTTGGAATAGGGGCTAAGAATGGTTATGTTTTTGACATTATTACAACTGAATATAACCATGGCACACATACAGTATATCTACCTTCTCTGCGTCTAATTCTAGATTATTTTAAAATGGAAAATATTAGAATACTCTAATATTTTAGTTACGACAAAGAGTTGGATCAACCAGGAACTGATTGTTAGTCGAAGAAGGTGATTCAAGTGCATTAAGTTTGATAAGTGTTTTAATTAAGATTATATTTTGTACACCACCACCTTTCTGAATAGAGTTACAGAAAATCTAGTGAATCAAGATTTATGAGACATTCATTCATCAATGTCAAAAAACCTTCATCATAATACATCTAGAATGTTTAGCTGTGAAACATCTGTCAGTACAGAAAATGTGCTTGGTGAAATGACTGTTTCTTAATATTTCATATTTCATCACTAACCTGGTGTCCCTGTGGCCCCATCATTCCCTTAGGGCCTGGAGAGCCTCGATCCCCCTAAGTGATTAAAAGAAACAAGTTTTCAGTTACAAGTGGGACCACATCCGTATACCGTCCAGGCTTCTCACAAAAAAGAATATATAACAACCTTACTTGACCAATATAACATAATGCTTGTACATTTTGAACTAAAGCCTTTAAAGAAGCAAAGATAAAAATGTCAACTAAAATCTAAAGAAGCTTTAAAAAAGGTATTTTTTAGGTATTTGTGTTGTTATTATAAGAGTGTGGGGCATTTTGCTTTTAAACTTTGCCACCGTTATATAATGCCAACAGGGTTATATACAGATGGAACAAGAGAATTATCTCATCACATATACACACAAGATACACATCACAAGATACACATCAGCCTTGTATTAGACAATTTATACTTTTAGGTTATTTAGCAGATGCAGCCAGGTTTCTATAAAGTACAGTAACGGTTGGTCTAACTGAAGCATACTCACTTTGGGTCCAACAGTCCCAGGCTCTCCAGGTAGGCCACGAAAGCCCTAATGAAGACACAGGACAATAAATTAATGTAGAAACTATCAACAGTTTCAACAAGATTCTGAGGGTTCTGATGTTCATGTGGCATTAATACTGTAAATAAACTTATGTTATATATGTATTACTTTGTATTCTGACTGAATACTAAGGTGTTGAGTTTTGAATACAAGCAGCAATTCCGTTATTTAAGAGCAGGAACAGCACCAGAAAAGGGGAAAAGGGTCAAAACAATCAAACCTCTTTTTCTACAACATATGCTTCACACTTCTTTGGAAGCAAAGTATCAAAACAAATGCAAGGAAACAGAGTTCTTTGAACACAATATCTCTCAATAGTTTGAGTGCACAGAGCACCAAATCAGAGGAAATCATGTGATAACTTTAAAAGTAATTTTCAGAGGACAACAACATTATACTTTGGATTAATATCCACATGGATACATCAATATGATCTGGACCAGATTCTTACATTTTTCATTCTACTTTTGATTAATAAAGTCTCAGTTTCAAGTTGTTCTCAAGTGGCTGGATATGTAATACTAACTCATTCAAACACTGTGGGAGCTTACTGTTAGTTATAAAATGATTACACACAGGAGAATATAAGCATTATGCTGAAGGTTTCTCATAGTGCAGTATAAATTGTGACTCCCACACATCTCCTGCTGGAATGTGGCCAAACATAAAACCCTTTCACAAAATCTTCGTTGTACAAGTATATCAGATCATTGAAAATCTATGTTTTGCTCCAACCAAAAAAAATCTCAAATACAAGCGATCCGGAACTGCCTCTCAAGGATGTTGTGCAATAAAAACTGACACATTTTAAAACATCAATTTCTAAGTTAATATTAGGTCATAATATAATTTAACTAAAAAAAAAGTTTTGAGCTGCACACTGAGATATCACAGACTGGTTTAACAGCATATCAATACAAATACATAAAAGTATAATTATTTAATTAGTTCCTGTAATATTTTCATCTATTTGTGATTCAAATTTGGAATTTAGGTACAATACAAACCATCACAGAACAGAACTAACTATACTGGTTTGGGGAACTGCAAACAAATGTAGCTACCTCTAGCAGTGTTACCATGGCAGCTGCCTCTGTTTTTTTCACCTAAATGAAATTCTCAAAGTTTACGTACCTGCTGAAAGACAAGCACAGCTCATTGGCAGACAGAACAGCCACTTGTACAAGAAGCCTATAGGTCAGCTGCATGACATTCCCCACCTGACTTTACTAAACAAAATCCCAGAAGCTTCTCTTCAGTCTATGCACATCCAGTGTTTCCACTGGTGGTGCATAGACTTCTGCCTGCAGTCTCTAAGGATAGAGGAACATTTTGCATTTTATTCAGTGAGTGGATGGAGCTACAATAATTGGGGGATTCCAAGACTGATTCTTGGTTTCATGTTTTGTTTGCCTTCTGTAGTGCTGAAGGGGTCTTGACCCTGACTATCTGCTAACAGAAAATAAAATGTCAGGGTGCGAGGGATAAGATTGTACATTTATGCTGCTAACCCCGATGAAATACTGTAGATTTTAGCTACAGCAGTGAAAGCCAACATGTAATAAAAGGAACAGATATTTTTAGTAGGTAAAAATTCAGGAAGCTAATTGGCCAACTGAAACATTTCTATCTATGAGAATACAGACATTTTCTAAGAAGAGTATTTGGGTTTTAATGCATGTTTCTTTTATATTCTGCAAGTTGGCAATACCTCTGTCTACTATATCACGGAAATATGAAATTTGTAGTAGTGTATATCTGCTTTTATCAAAAATATGATGAATACTAATCTAAATCAGATTTAAATTTAAATTGGATTTCAAATATTAAATGAAAAACTAAGAACATGAGAGGAAATGTACCACTGTAAAGAGAGCTTTAACCTGTTTAAACTTGGAGTAATACAGTTCTCACTCACCACTGTGTGCCATGAATAAATTAACCAGGAAAAAGGTTAAAATATAATGCATAACAAACTATTTTTGTAAAGATATTTCTGTTAACTTTGTCAATATTTCAATATTTAATATTCGTGTGACACAAGTTAACACAAGCATTTAACTGATAAGAACACATGAATTGGATATAGTTTTTCTTCCCTAAATGGGAATGAGGATGAGGGATTTAAACACTGTAATTTCTGATGTTAGAAGTGCTTACAGTATGATATTTCACATGAGATCTGATTAGCCAATTTAAAACATGTTCTAATTTTCTTAACTAGTAACAATATTTGTGGCAACAAAACAGGTTTTCTAATATTCTGGGCTCTTCAAATAAAATGACTATTACTTTTACTACTAACCCAAAAATGCAACAGTACTAATACTGGTGGTTAAAGGCACAGTTTCCCTTATACAGCCTTTCAACACAATACCTGCAGGTCTATGGATTCCAGTTTAAACTGAGATTTTTAGCATTCAAGGAGCAAAGTTACTATCAGCAGGAATTCTTTCAGCCCCTATTTGCCACAATCTGAATGCAATTATTTGCTTGAAAGATGGTCACAACAAACATTGAATCAAGAGATATGTTTCTAGATATGTCTTCAAGTAATAAATGAAATAAGATCTACAGTATGATGGAAGTGCCTGTTCAAGTGTATGATGCTCTGAAAAACAAAAATATTCACTCTTGAAGACTAAAGAGAAATGGCAAGAGATCAAGCTAATGCCACTTTCAGATTCTGCATTTTAGCCTGGCTCAATGGCAGATAGCAGTGCAGGACTGTATAAAAACATCATTAAAATAAAAACTGAAACTAGCTCTTTGCATACATTTAGGTGTTCTTTGGGGGACAATTAATTAATCATATTGTATATCATGCAGTATGAATCTTGTAAGCACAACATAAATAAGAATAATCTGCATATTATTGTTAGGGATGGAATTAATAAAGAATTAAATATATCAAAGACTTTTCACATTATGATTTAACTTAATATTCAATCAAGTCTATTCATTTAAGCTGGTTAAAATAGTTTCATGTGAGAATAAAGAGGATAGAAAGGTATTCTTATTGTCACCTTTTTTATTTCAAGATTTTAAAATGCCAGCATTTCTTTGTAAAATTGCTGATGACTTCACTCTTTTGTATCTTCTTAGTGTTTTGATATTTAACTTATATTTCTATCCAAAATAAAAATTGGGGCTGTATAAAGAGGTTTGGTTCTTCCTGTGTAAGAGATATTCACATCTGAACACTGCTGTGAACATTTCATTAGTGAATGAAATCTGCAGTACATGTTAACTCCACACACTTACCTGTGGGAAAACATTTTACACTGTCCCTAATGACAATACAATGTTGAGAATCATGGCATCAGGAATGCCAGAAATTAAGCTTTTAATCATACAAGAGCAGTGAGTGCCCTGGTTTTGTAGTTACCTCTTTCTAAATACTTTAAGCAACACATCCCCTATCTGTAAAGGAAGACAGAGGCAGAACTGGCTTCCAGATCCCTCAATTAAGATGTGTATTTTTTTTTCATGGTAACACTATCCTAGTTCTTAAGGGAATAAGAAATTGGTCCGATTGACTTCACAGTAGAGCAGCTACTCTTTAGTTCCAAAGAATGTCATGTTTTTTAAAGCAAAAAAGTACTTTTGCTACCATCACTACCTGCTTGAAGAAAATCTACAACCTTTCCAAAAGTAAATGCGAGAAACGCAATTACATCAATAACGAGTAGCTAAAACAATTGAGTTTCAAGCTGTTGAGTTTCCCCATCAGGAAGTTGCTTTCATCAGAAGAGTAGGAGGAGATAACAGCAAAACCAGAAGAAAGATTTTTTTTTTAATTGCAAGGAACCAGTACCTTGTGTTATGCCAAAGGAAATTCTTAAATTACAATGGAAACAGTGCAGTAGGAGGAGGATATTTCTGATTGATTCCAACAATCACTCATGCGATCTGGGTGCCCCTTCCTGAGGTATCCCTCTTGATTGCACCAGTCTGCAGTTTTTATTACAGACTTTTACCACATCCCCAAGCTGTCAGTGATAGCACCGTAACACTGCCAAATGTCCCGGAGTCTGGGACTGTTGACAAAAGGTTGGTTTCCTGACATTGAACAAGGAACTATGATCAGGTCATATCTGGAAAGCTGCCAGGGAGTGGCAGAGTCTATCAGTCCTTCCCTCTTTCTTCCTGCAACAGGATCTGGAGGTGTCTTTTACCCATTCAAATGCCAAATTCATGCCTGAAGCATCATCTCCTCCTGAATTTTCTTTCATTTATACCACAAACTGTGTCTCTGCCCAATTCCAAATGCTGATTGTGAGGCAAGAGAATTGGCAGACATTCTCTTCTCACTGAGTACACACTTATACAATAGATAACAACATTTGTGAACAATTGTCACCTCTCCTTGTTTTTCCAATATGCACTTGACACAGAGTGTGAAGCTTGGTCTTCCACAGAAATGTAGGCCAGGTTATCCATCCATTTTCTAACTGTTTCTTCCAATTCAGGGTCACAAGGGAACTGGAATCTATTCTGGTAAGCAACAGGCACAAAGCTGGGGTATACCATGGATAGAGTGCCAGTCCATTGCAGGGCACCTACTGTACAAACAAAACCTCAGACATGCACACTCTCAAACAAGAGACAATGTACCCAGAATCCAATTCACCTACCTGTATGTCTTTAGACTGTGGGAGGAAACCAGAACACCCAGAAAAATTCCACACAAACACAGGAGAACATACAAGCTCCTTGCAGATAGCAGCCCAGGTCCAAAATTGAACCCAGGGCCCCAACTGTATGAGGCAGCAATGTTAACCACTGTTCCACCATGCTGCAGGTTAGATTGTTCCAATTAATTTAAGACAAGATGTCACATTCACATCATAATTGCAAATTTAATAGGCAACAAAAGTGGCCATTAGGGATTGTCATATTTCAGTCTTTTCCTTCTGAAAACATACACTGCATTAATCTCAATAGTCATGACACCTATTAGAAAAATATGCTGATAATCTATTTTAAATAATATCGCAAGTTTAAATGTCTTGAGAGAGATAATACAGGTATAATGATGAGGATTAAAGAGGAAACTGTTTTCTTTTTGATTAATATGTAGTTTTGGAGTTTTACTTGTATTTCAGAAACATCTGAGAAAAAATGAGACAGAATAAGTAAATCAAAATGGTTCTCTTAAGCAGAGGGCTTTAACGGACATACTGTCTGTGGATTTGTGATGGGCATAAAAGCAACACATGTATGATAATATGTAATATACTAAGGCATATTACAGGTATGTCATATGTATAGCACACAGTACATATCACTAACTTTCTCATTCTTAAGGGTGCCTTCAAAACTGGAACTGAAATGTGGTGACAGTCTATAGAACAATAATACAAACAGTACTAACAATTACAAACAGTAATACTGTGGAAAATACTATTAGAATTATACTAAGTAGTGACTTTGTGGTGTTTCTAAACCTATTTTTCATTACACTCTTCAATTTAATTTATATCTGTATGATATGTAAAAATAAAGTACGATCATTATAGCACTTTATAAAATTTGCATTAAGGCACACACTCAACACTTTTTCCTGTTTCTGATTATGAAAAGCTGCATTGTGGAGATAATCCAACTCACACTTCAACCTGAGCTTAGTAAAGGTCATCATTGCCAGAAGCACAAACAATGTACAGACAGCAAGAAGTTAGAGTCATTTCAAAATGAAAGGTGTAGCCTGCAGACAGAACCAGGAACATCCCCTTTTAAAACTTCTGGACTCTACTCTGAAATTAGGTGATAAACAGAGCTCTACCTAAGTCCTGCCCAAAGTTGCACACTATTCTGTTTTATCATTCTTTTTCATCCTTGTCTGAATGGTAAGCTCCTTCACGCCAGTTAATTCTCTGAAGTGTGTTGCCTTTCAGCAAGACAAGCTGAAACATTCTGAATTCGTACTGAGACCCACAGAAATACATTATTCAGTGATGCAATTATTTTGTGGAGGAATTATTGAAGATGAAGCCTACAAGCTATTTTTAATATCTGTTTTTTTTTTTGTGGAGATGGCATTGAATTTAAAAATAAATCTGAGTAAAGGATAAATTTTGCTGCTGTCAATAGAGCTGTACTTACTGTACACGATTGGACTTTCGTTTACTGGTCTTACAGGGAAGTCAATTAAACCTTCAGTTACAGTACTTTTGTTGCTAAGTGCTTAGGTTTGGACTGTATTAAAGCTTTCTTACTGGAGGTCCCCTCACTCCATCTGCCCCAGGCTCACCGGGTTCTCCTTTCTCACCCTGAAAGTAAAAAAAAAAGTGAGCTATTATCTCTAGTTTGGGTGAATTCAAAATACAGGTAATACAGTAGCAATGATCACATGTTTCAGCAATTACCAAGATACAATCTGTACTATGATGTGAATGCATTAGGCTGCTAGTGTTAAGAGTCTGAGTTTAACCTGACTAATCTCTTCCTGGCATCACCAGACATATGCTTCAGAGTCACTCCATTTGTTTTTGTTTTTTTTGCCATGAAAATTCTGGAATACTGAATCCCCTAAATATATATAGCAGTCAAAAAGTGAATCACAACAGCTGATTTTCCTTCCCTACCACCCTAGAGAGCGCATATCAGTTTTGTGTTCTCCGTTAGTCCTCAGCCAAGACTTACAATTCTCTTTGGCAAAATAAAACAGATATCTGTTTTCCAAAATCTTTTTTTAAGATTTGTAATGCTGAGAACTGTGTTACAGGCTATTTCTTTTGAAAAGAAGCTCTGTTTAATTCATTAAAATCTCAGTAATAAAATCCTTAAATGTAAATGGCAATAAAACATTAGTAATATACTGTATGTTGCAAAGGAAAAAGTAAGAGAGAAAACAACATTTCAGCAGTGGAGCCTTCTTCAGCAGGTGTGAGGCCTCCACGGCCAAAAAGTTGTGTTTTCTTTCTTTTCTTTTCAGCATGGAATAAACCTATTACTTGTTCCTTTGCAGCCTACGCATGCTGACTCAGCTACCCACCTGAACATATACTGTACTGTATGTTTTCCTATATGATTTCCTTTGTTTTAGCCTGCCGTTCCCTAAATGTTTATCGTCTGTTTTCTTTTCCTCCACTTGCACAGCAGGTTAGTATACAGAGAGTGGTGTCCAATGTATACACTTTAACACATGCATGTTTTTCACAGTACTTTACCTTTCTCACAGCAAAACACATTCATGTACTGTAGACTACATTAAAAGTTATAAATATTTCATTTTGTCATCATAGAAGTTTGGCTTGCTCATATTTGCATCCATTTTAACCACTTGATCCAATACAGGGTCTTGGGGATGCTGAAAAGCAATGGGCACAAGGTAGGATACACCATGGGCAAGACACCAGCCCATTGCGCACACACTTTGCATCCCTAAAACAATGAGACTGCCACTTTGCTGCTGAGGTTGAGATTACCTTTTTAACCTACAACATAATAATAATAATAATAATAATAATAATAATAATAATAATAAAAATAAATAATAATAAATAATAATAATAATCATAATAATAAAGATGACACAACTCGTAGTTACTTGCCTATAGTGAGGTGCCCTTGTATTCTATTTCTACTTCTTTATAATTAAACCATAACATTGTTTTCTGCAGTAAATGTCAACATGTTATTTGAGCTCCTTTAAGCATAGCTGATGTGATGGAAAAAGGCTTAGCTTATTTTGTTTGGTGTTAATCTCTCAAACAATATTTAAAAAGAAAAATCGTGAAGAATGTGTTCTTAACTATGGAATGCAAATAGCCACAATACCATAATCTATAATGAAAAGAGAACGGGAGATTGTACATGCAGTTTTACAAAATTACTTTTAGTATTCTTAAACATTAGTGTAGAAAGTAAATACAAATAAGTAATTTATTTATAAATAGTATATAGTAAATAGTAAATAATTTACAAAATAATTTATTAATAGAGTGCTTTCACAGCTAAAAAAAACTAAATCTACCCTTAAAGCCACAGGTCCTTAGAGCCGTGCCTTAAAAACTAGGTAGGTAGACACTTCAAATTCATGTTTTTTCTTGGCTCACCAGAAATAACAAATAGGCTTTTTAACACAAGAAGAAACAATGGGGCTTAAAAATTCAGCCTGGCAGTTTCTCACTGAAATCATCTGCATCATACTGTGCCCTGAGTTACAACTTTTTCTCTCTGAAAAAAATTCCTGAACTCAATGAACAGTAAATCCTTTTACTTTAGCTCTTTGGCTTTAAATCCTAATGAACTGAATCCAGGATGTACTGAGCAAAAACTGGAATATAAATGTGTTTCAACAGAACTGTTCCCATGAGATTTAGTTGCAAACATAGAGTTTTTAATGCTTTAATATTATATTACCAATACAAGATGCCAGGGAAGTTTTTTATACTTTTTTATTCTTTTGGAAAGAATACTAAAGCATTTTGTCTTGACTTTTTTCTTTTATAGAGACATTTACCTTTGCTCTATGCCTTTTTATTATTGTACCTGTTGATTACGGAACAAAATGTTTATTTTATTAAACAAATGATGTATCACATTCACTTTATTGTTTCATTGCTCAATCTTATAAGTTAAAGGAAGATTCACGTAGAAATACTGTTAAATATCTCCACAAAGGTAATCATGCAATCATTTCACCAGCTCTTTTAGTAAAGTTTATGCAGTACATACTGTAAGTCATATGAAGCCACATACTCACCTAATTCAATGGGTAAAGCAAGGAGCTTGTACTTGAAATATTATAGATCACTAAAAGTCTTAAATTGCAAAAGGAAAACAAATCTATTTCAGGTTCTACACCTTAAAGTCATATTAGCTCAATATTATTTACTTAGCCAACTGCTCTCAAAATGTAGAAATGTACATGAATTGCATGTGTTAGTACAGTAAGTCATTGCTGGTATCATGCCAAAGAAACACACTATTCAAAGTATGTATGAAGGTGTGGCTTAAAATTCTGTAAAAATATACTGACTGCAGTACAATTGGGGTCACCAGTTGCTAATCTGCATGAAACAACAATAATTCAATAATGCTCAGAACCATCTGTTTAATATTTAGCAACCATGGTTTTGCATAGGCCATCATTCTAATTTAAATGGAGCAACATGTGTATGTTGCTGAATTACTGAAAGCAAACAGCTATCATGCTCACGTTCAAATATTCTTCCTTTTTTGCTGGGGATAGACACCCATAGTTGGATGATGGGGTCAGCCAAAGGATTAACAGATCAAGGGACTATTAAGATCAGAAAACATTCCATCATACACTTTGTACATTTGTGTACTGTATATTAGATCAAGTATATGAAACTAGAAATTTTAACAAAATCCTATATAAATAGGCTACATGAAAACTTTACCTAAATTTCCAGTTTCACAGTCACATTGTAATGTGCATGTAAGGCAAGTATATACTGCACAGTACACACACTTTCCACGGCAATCTTTACTTTCATAGTGATCATTACACATTACTGAATTTCCCTTTTACCAATAGCTAGATTTTAAAACTAAACACGTTTTTCTCATTTGAAACTCAGTCTGTTTTTGGAAATCAAAACAATTTTACTGCATCTTTTTTCCTGCAACCATTAACACAGCATGGGTAAAACATGTTGTCACAAGTTAAGTGTTTCCTTTTATCTACAGGAATTTTATAGAGAGTATACACTAGACACTGATTAGTCCAAATGTAGTCCTCAAATGTATGCATCAGTTTGATATGACATATACTGTATGAAAAGGCAGTCTATTTTTCTTATTGGTAGTTTTCTTTTATTATTGACAATAGAACTGTTTTCAATGTTTTATACTTGCCTTCAAGTTTGTATCTATTCTGAAATGCTCTTTACAATAAAAATGGCCAATAAAGTACTGCATGTTGGCTGATAAAGGCTGATAATATGTTATTTTGACACATTGGCAGTATGGTTTTATGTAGTTGTTTTGGTACAGACAATTATGCAATGAAGAAACAGTCTAAATAACAAGGAATAATAGAGTTTTGGACTGTATATAATACAATTTTCGTTTCAATGTAGTTCCTTTGTGACCTTTAACTGTCATAGGTACTTTAATTCATAACTCTGGTTATACTGTAGCAATTCCTGTTTTATTCCTGTTTTGTTTGCTAAATTCAGAATTATGCTTATATTTGCTCAATTCAGAATTATGCTTTTGGGATATTTTACATGCTATAATGGCAAATCGTGTTCTCTTGTGTCTTCTGTATATCAGTAGTGCATAGATCAATAAATTATTGATCATAAAATCCACATACTGTAGCGTATTAAGGGGTATTACAAACAGATGTATAGTAATAACAATACAGTAATTTCAATTTTGAAAACTCATAAGATACAAAAAAGTCACTGTGTGCTATATCCTGTTCATTTTTCTAATACATTAGGGTTTAAATGCAATCAATAAAAACCTATTACTTGTTCCTTTGCATCAATAAAAACAGTTACACATCAGCAAAAGTCATGCATAAACATTTCCATCCTCAGCTGTATGTTGTATTATGATATTTTACTTTCATACTGCATGCTGTATGTTCAGTTCCATTTAAACTAATTAAATGTACTGTATGATAAATCTATATATTATACAAAAACATTATACAACAGATGTTTTGGGCCTATAATGTGGTATTTAATTACACACGCAGTTGGCTCCATTTTGTTACACTCTTGATACATTGTAACAGAGCTAGATTTCTCAAAATATGCATGCACACATTCAATATGTGTTGCATAAATCAATTCCCAAATCATCCTTTGCGAATATCGCAAAAACACATCTTTACATATTTCTTTAAAACCACTATTTTCATATTTATTCACTGCCTGTAAATGTGTTGAAAATAAAGGTTGAAAATTGAATCATTTAACATTTAGCCATCTGGCAATTTCACAAAGTCTCAGAACATTTATAGACACTTGTAGAAATCACCTAGATTGGATATCCAAGGAAGCTGAAGACAAAAGTAAAATATATTAATGTCAGTGTGGGACAGTGATTTATTCTCTAGTGTATCTCTAGCATCTCTAGTGATAACTGTAATAAAGCAATATTGATATAACACAACTGACTGAGCAATCAATCTAGGAGTTCAAGGCTAATGGGATGGCTGCTGCCCCATTAGGGAGAGAACATTACTATTGTTTTTCTTTTCCTTATACCTAACTGAATGTTTTTTATTTATCCCCTTTCTTTCTTTATAGTCCTGATCAAACTTCTATATTTCTATGGTATT